AACGTTCTTCTGTCTGGGAGACAGGTCATTCAAGGTGGTGGTGTTGTAAACTCTGTTGGAAGACCGGGCAATGCTGAAGTGTGAAATAGGGGTGTTAGAAATGGTTTATTTTGGCAATTGTGTAGCCGCAGCAATTCCTAATGGTTACTAAAATGCTCCCTCTGGGAGTGTTCCTGGTAGCCAGTGTGTTGCTAACCCCACTCCTGGGGATCCCCCTGCCACTCCATGTTATTTCCTCCATATCAGAGGTAGCAGTGTGTTGTGGCAGCAGCCTCTGTTTGTGCGGGGGGGCCCAAGCTTCCCACAAACAGAGGCTACTCCGGCATCCCATGGAATAGCCTCTGTCCGTGGTAAGTCTGGGACTATGGTATGGCACAGATCTGCAGCAGTAGCCCCTGTCAGTGGTGGCATGAGCTTGCTGCTGCCCTGTGCTGCTGCCTCTGATACAGAGGCTGCAGTGCAGGGTGGCAGGTGGGGCTCCCCTTGTGTTTTTCATTTAAAACTCGGATTGTTGGGCCAGGATTGAGCCAGCCTTCCATTCTCAGTTTTAAATACAGAGTGGGGGGTTGAGGGAGTTGGTACAGTTAACTGGGACTGTTAACCTATAAGCAACTGCTTATTGGTTAAATGGTTAACCGACTAGTTGCTAACATATCTAGTGTGAGGTATTATGCTGAATCTGTTGGTGGGTGTTATTAACCAGCTGTTTATATATTCCTGAAGCTGAAGGAGCATCTGCATTTGCAGATCTGATGCAAAGGACACTGTATCCCATAGTCCTTCTGATTTTCTGTGTAGAATTTTTCCCACTGATATCTATAACATCCCCCCATAATTTTTGAACCTCAATTTTAAGCTTGTTACAGAGGGAGAAACCATGTTCAGTGTGAGGTCTCACTTTCCCATAGCCACCAAAAAAATAAAATCAGGATTACTGATACACAAGAAAGCTGAAATATTGAATTGAACTTGCTTTTCCACACAAATCCTGAAAATGGATTCATAGGCTCAAATCTTTGGTAATTTGGCTGGATGCAGGGTATTCTCCCTGGAGAACACAAGGAAAAGGAACCCTTGCATCATGCAAGAGAGTGGCTGTTAACACTTCTGCCTGCTCAGTCCTGTGTTTTGGACAACCAGAAAATCATTGGAACAACAGGTCCTCTGGTTCTATTCCCAAATAGAAGCCACAGTGAACTGGGTTTTGATGTACATTGGGGAGAATGCTCCCTATACAGTAACACTTCACTTACCTTTGTAGTTATATTACTTAAAAATGCTACTTTAAGCTAAACAATGTTAAGCAAATTCAGTTTCCCCATAAGAATTAATGTAAATGGGGAGGAACGGGGCAGTTTTTTTCAGCAGACAAGACAGTATATGTTTTTTAAATAATTTTAAACGATTTAGTACTGTACACTTCAATGATGATTGTGAAGCTTGGTTAAAGTGGTGGAGTCATCTATTATATATTTTGAAGAGTTTATAGATTTGCTTATGCAAAATAGTCCTACTTCCTGATTAGCTACAGATACCAAATTTTGCATAAACAATCCTGCCACTTAAATTAGCTGATTCCACTACTTTTTACACTGGAATATGCCGGGTGAAAAGTTTTTATATAATTAGTTTTGTTTTTCATTGCAAAAAGTCATCACTTATGATTAGATCTCATAAAACAAAATTAAAATCGAGTCACCTATTCAACTGTCATATTAGTACAAAGAAAATTTTTATTGTTACAAATCACAAAACAGTTCGAATTAGTTATGGAAAGCGCAATGGAAGCTTTATGAGTTTCTGACTCAAATTTGCTGTGTATGGTAATGATTCAATAAAATGAATAATGTTTTAAGTTGAAATCCTGCAAATTTAAAACTGTTCTTTTACTTCCCTTTTGCAAGCACATTAATAAGAAAATCTATTATAGAAAATTTAAGAAATTAAATATATATGTGTAATCTTTGCAAAATGACTTTGCCTGGTCAACGATGGGCCCCACCTGCTTAGTAGTGTAATATTTCCCAGGGAATGTCTTGTTGCGAAATGATTAACTACCTCTTGGCAGTGCCCTTAAGGGTTAACATATTGCTGTTAATGTAGCCTCACACTCTACAAGGCAGCATGGACTGAGGCAGGAGAGAGGAAACAAAGTAGACGCAGGGCAGTGGCTGCGAACACTTCCCTGCAGAAATTGAACACTATGATAAAACCCACACTATCCCACTGTAGTGCACTGCTCTCTCCTCTGGACAGTGCATACATGGCTGCACAGTGCCAAGGTGTGTGTGTGAGACATCCACGAAATAGGGATAATATAAAATGAGCTAGTCAACGTGTCGTGAAGATTAATTAATTTTAAAATGCTAAGCACTACGTATATTAATAATTAGAAGAGTATCTTTTTGGTGGGAATTGATTATGTCCAATTTCATTTGTTACTTTATCTTTTCTAGGTGTGTTTTGACTGTGGAGCCAAAAACCCTAGCTGGGCAAGCATAACATATGGTGTTTTTCTTTGTATTGATTGCTCAGGGACCCATCGATCACTTGGTGTTCACTTGAGTTTCATTCGGTAAGTAGTAACATGATTCTTTGCTAAGTAAGTCATAAGATTTGTTTTCAATATTTGTCATATTACGTAGCTCTTCAGAGGCTTTTATTGTGGATACTTATTAATGAGGGAATGAGCTTTTCATGTTTACTTGTTCATATCCATCTATGATAGTGATGGCTGAATGTTATCTGTATGTTGGGACCTATATACAGGTTGTACCTCCCTAAATCAGAGGTTGGGAGTGCAGCTAGGGGAACCAGTGACTCAGCTGGAAGCCCCATGGCAGGCCATGGAGCTCCAGCTCTGGTGGCAGTGGGGCAGCAGAGCCAGTGGCAGGGGAACTGGCGCTGGAGCCCAGCGGGTCCCGAACCTAAGGGCAAGAGGGCCAGGCATGGGCCGGAAGCAGTCGGCAGTAGGAAGGGGTGGGGGGCTGGGAGACCAATGATAGGGGATCTCCCCCTTGGTCTGGCAGATCCCTTCATTTGGGACTAGTCGGGTCCTGAGGATGCCGGACCAGGGAGGTCCAAGAGGAGAGGGTCTCAGTAGAGTTCCTGTTATGCACATTGCACTAACTGCGGTACAAACATAATTAAGTCCTTTTTTGGCAGCTTTGTCCAACTTTCTTGCAGAAGATGAAGATTTAAACAGGCATGAAACTTAACTTAATACTCTCATCTTAATGGCTTTTCCATATCAGTTTTGAGCTGTAGCATTGCTTAAAGATTTTTTGCCATCTTTAGCTTTGTGTTACAATATACTGAGTATTTTTTCATGGTTGCATGCATCAGAAATGTTTAAAAGGTATGTATGCCTCTGTTCTTTAAACCTGGAATAGTGAAATGTGTGGTAGCAGGTGAGAAGATACTTGCTTCTCCTGAAAAAATGAGGAAAATTGATACTAGGTGTCATTTTCCCTGACTTGGAATGTTGAAGGAATCTTCATGAAAACTTAGTGATTATCATTATAGGAATGAGATTGAGACTGTAACATTTTGACATACATAGGCACAAAGGTAAATATTTGGAAAGGGAGTTTTATTGTTCCATGACCTCCAACATATTACCTTCAGTTTTCATTTTCTTGATTGACTTTTGTAATTGGACAAACTTTAAATCCAGGCAGAAGCTTGATTAGCCTGACCTATTCAGGTAGCCTAGGCCTACACTTCAAATTTTTGCTGATATGTGGTTAGTAGTGTGATTTTAAAAAAAAATAATTAAACAGTATGTTTGTGACAGCTAAAGTCTGTGCAGATGAAATTACAGGAGAAAAAAAGTTCTTTTTCTGGCATGGCTTATTTTATTTAGGGAACTGGTATAAACTATGCTAGCTAGTGCTCTCTTTTGCCTGTGTAAACTGAATCTTACATTGGGGGAATTGGCAGGTCCAGCAATACTATTAAATTTTTTTTTCCAGACTAGACCTTAGAAATTCTTTGCTAACCTTGGCTTAACTAAGGCTATGTATAAGTTTTATCAACAACCAGGAAGGTACTTTGACTCTTGGGACTGTACTGAAGAATTAAACTAGACCCTTTAACTTTGTCCTCAGTAAAGCAGTACAGGATCTCTATGCCTACACATTATTACATTCTAGACTAGGTATCAACAACCTTTCCGAAGTGGTGTGCCAAGATTTAACTTTCCTGCTCTGGGCCACGCCGCTCTCCCAGAAGGTGGGAAGGGGCTCTCTCCACCACGCATCCCACTTGGTCTCCTGCCCTGGGCTCTGCTCCAGCTTTTCCTGTGGGGAGGAGAAGAGCAGCGCATTTGCTTCCCCAGAAGCTAGATGTGGTACGGCATCCAGGGGCTTCCCCCTCGCAGGAAGCCAGCACTAGCTCCAATCTTGTGGAGGTCACGATGCTGGATCACCATTAAGGGCTGGGGTCAGGGTGGCTTGGGGAGTTCAGGGAAATGGGAAAGGTGTGGGTGGGTGTGTAACTCTGGGGTGTCCATCCCTGCTGGGGGCAGGGTCCTGTGGAGGGTCTGTTCCATGGAGCCCTCATCTTCCTGCCAGGGTATAGGAGCAAGCTGGAGTTGTGGGGTCTTGGGGAGGGGAGGTGTGGGGACTTGGGGTGCAAGGGTCTGGAATGGGGGGGATGCTTACTTGTCTTTGCACCCCCATTGCTTTCATTGGCAGGTCACTGCACTGCTGTTTCCTCAGCAGGGTTGGGGGTTGATGAAGATAGTGCTGACCTCTCCTGCCAGATGGGCTTGCAGAGAGAGGCAGAGGAAGTGGCTCCATGCTGGGGGAACAGTGCATGGAGTCGCTTGCTCTGCCTCACTCCACGAGCAGGGTGCGGACACCTCACACGTAACAAGGGTCAGCTCTGGAGCCAGGTGCTCCCACCCATGTCCCTGGTGTCATTCGCTCCACTCCACTCCTGCACCATGGGCTGAGTGCAGGGTGGGGGGTGGAATCAGTGATGACGCAGGGGAGCTCCCTGCACCCTGGGACGAGCACATCGCCTGCGCAGCCCCAGGGGAGACAGTAGCCTCCCCTTCTCCCTCCACGCACTGAAGCTCCAAGCAGGCTACCCAATATCACCTCCCTTCTCTCACATGCACAGTGAGTACTGGCGCGAGGGGAAAGGGCATCAGGAGCAGCCTGTTGCGCATGCGAGTCATTCACAGAACTGCCGTAAACAAGTTCTGGGGACTCTCGTGGGGGCAGAGGGGATGAGGAGCATGGCTTGAGCATTCTCAGCATCGGTACTTCCAGCAACTGGCCAGACACCATGTCTCAACTGAGGGCAGCTGCTTAGGACATTTTAAAGGGCCCAGTGCACAGGAATTGGAGCTTGTTTTTTGCACCTCGTGGCTGCATGGTAACTACCAGGCTGGATCAGCAGCACAAATTCCCCACTGTGTGGGGCTGATGGGAGTGTGGAGAGCAGCTGAGCTTGAGCCATGGACTGCGTGTGCCACTCAGTTTGCTTGCATGCCACTGATTGGAGACCCCTTGTACTGGACCAACATAATAACTCCGCTTCCTCTCTTAAGTTGATGCAAATTCTCCTGGTGAGGATGTGCATCACCGACAGAAGGAGGGTAGCGTGGACATTAAAAGCTGTGGTAAATAAAAGGAGAACCGCGATGGCTGTATGTTAATTTAAGTTGATTTAAGTTTATAGTGTATACATGCCCTTATGTAGGGGTTTTGTGCACAGTAGTACAAGGTTTGAATTATGATTTATTACAAGCTACTAGTTTTTCTGAAAACAACTTTTAAAAGATGTCTTTAATATTCTTTTGGAAAACAGTACTTAACATGTTTCTTCTGTTTAGATCTACAGAATTAGATTCCAACTGGTCTTGGTTTCAGTTGAGATGTATGCAAGTAGGAGGAAATGCAAATGCTGTAAGTATATCTTAGAAATGTTTTTCTAATTTCAAGGTATTTGCTTTTCATGTTTTAACAGTATTACACTTAGCTTCATTGCTATTTTAAGTGTTAGTTAAGAATTCAGGGATGGAGAACTTAACTCCACAACACTTTGTAATATTTGTGTGTTTCAGGTTATATTTAAGTGTTAGTTAAGAATTCAGGGATGGAGAACTTAACTCCACAACACTTTGTAATATTTGTGTGTTTGAGTATTTCAGGTTATAATAATGTATTAACTGCTACACTCCTAAAACTTTATATATCCTGTTGGGTAGAAACTAGGTATGTGAACGACTAGTCAACTATCCAATAATCAAATGCTTCTTGGATAATTGACAGGCTAGTTGACTAGTCGTGCCCCTGCTTCCCCCCCTCCTTCCTTGCCACCACTATCAGAAAGAGGCAGCAAGGTGGAAGAAGAAGAGGGGGTACTTCAAAGCAGCAGCGCCTCACAGAGTCTGGGGCCATATCCCGGGCTCCATATGACGCTGCCGCTTTGAAATACCGCATGGAGCCTGGGACCACCTGCATGTGGCATTTCAAAGCGGCAGCACTGTATGGAGCCTGGGATCAGCTGGGGACTCCCTCTGTGACCCTTGGTTCCATGAGACGCTGCTGCTTTGAAACACCATGTGGAGCCTGACGCTTGGCTTCCTGCGACATTTCAAAGTGGCAGCGCCACGGGGGGCTCAAGGTCATTGGGGGAGTCCCCAGCTGACTCCAGGCTTCATGCGGTGCTGGTGCTTTGAAACGTCACTTGCAGCCTGAGGCTGGGCTCCCCACGGCATTTCAAAATGGCATCACCACACGGAGCCCAAGGTCAGCTGCTGCTTTGGAATACCATTAGGAGTCCTGGGCCAGTGGGGCACTGCCTCACTGGCTCTGTGCTCCCTGCAGTGCTTTTGCCTTTGAAGTATACACTTCAAAGGTGTAGGTGCCCGGTCGATTAGTCAATTACTCAAAATTTAACATCTCTAGAAACTAGTTAATATAAAAATGGGTTCATTACAGTGTATGTGCTGCTTCAAGAAATTTGCACAGACTTCTGAGGCATAAAGTCAATACATTATAGCAAAATGCAATAAGTTATTTTGAATTCTCCATATGTTTTGGCCTTAGTGAAGGGAAGAATCAGTTGTGTTCAAGATTACACAAGTGATAGATAGCATGAAATGATATTTGTTGGGTTTTTTTTAATCCTAATATTTTAAGACAATCAAAAGTTTAAAAAAAAAAAAAGAGCAGGTTTTTTTTTAAAGTAATGGCAAATACCCAAAATAATTGTTTAGTTTTACTTTGCTTCTATGTCCTTTTCTTGTTGTTGGCTAAAGCTCAGTTTTTAAAAGTTCAGTGAACAGCAGATGTGGTGATGGGAAAAATTATTTTTTCATAATTTGTATTTTTTCATTTAATATACAAACCCATGAGTTCTTCAGTTGGTTCCAGGGAGGTATAAATTAATGATCCAATATGAGCTACTGTCTGAAACTTGTGATACCATAGCTAATGAACTACTTCACATTTTCTAAGTAACTTAGTTTCTGTAATATCTGTACTCTAATTCTGTTAAATTGCATTAAGTATTTCATAAGCTTATTTGTTTTTTTTTACTAATTCTCTGTTTAGCAATATTGTTAATTTTTACTATTTCTTTATTGTAGCTACACTTTAAGCTTGAACCTTGGCTATCTACAGTGATTAGTTCCCTTGAAATATATAATATAGTTACAAAATCAGTATACTCTTCTGAAGTGGTTCCTCTCACAATAGTAAGGCTATTCTCTTGTATGTAAGATTTTCAAATGTCACAGTCGTAACTGTGTATATAGAGACCTAAATAAATGGCCAGTTTTTTCAAAGTGCTGACGGGTTCAGGAAGTGGGATCTGGGTGGGCACTGTTTAACTGAGACTGCTTCCAGGTGGTGGAGCAGTAGGGTTAAGGCAGGCTTACTCTTGCCTGGGATCTGCATCACTCCTGAAAGCAGCTGGCGTGTACAGCAGTGGCGCCATCTACTGCTCCTCATCTACAGGCACTGAGCCCACAGCTTCTACCAGCCACGGTTTCCTGTTATTGATCAATGGGAGCTGCAGGAGTGGCGCCTGCAGGCAAGGACAGCATGTGGAGACTGCTTGCTCTGGCTTTCTCAGGGGCTGCAGGGACATGCCACCCACTTCCAAGAGCAGCAGTTCCCATAGGGATAATTATTCCAGCCATGACAGGTTAGGCATTCTAGAACTCACTACTCAAGGAATTACATTTAAGCATAAGAAAGAAATGAAAATGATGAAATGCACAGACCAGTCAAAACCAAAAGTAACCACTTTGCAAGCAATAAAAGAAGTAACAACAAGCCCCCACGTATGTGTTGGGTCGGGAGATGAGTGAAGGACAGTGTATATTTGTGAGAATGACAGACACACACACACAGTGTATAAGAGTGACAGAGATTTGCATTGCCAAGCTCCCGCCATCCCCTTCTCTCTGTATGTAGATAGGGTACAGAAATGGGGGAAGGAGGGACACCCTGACATCAGTGTTCCCTCCTCTTCTTCCTCCCACCTCCTGCACAGCAAGTAAGAGGTTCCCGGGGCGGCAGCTCCAAGGCAGAGGGTAGGAGCAGAATGACAGGGGGTGAAGGGGCAACTGAAGTACCAGCGCTTAATAGCTTCCTGGCCAAACCAGTCAGTATCACCTGTCAGAGGCTCCAAGATCTACCAGTAGATCCCGATCTGCTGGTTGGTGACTACTGCTCTACACAAAGGAATAAATGGACACAAATCAGACATCAAGCACAGTAACATTCAAAAACCAATAGGAGAGCATTTTAACCTTCCTAGACACACAGTAACAGACCTGAAAGTTGCATTATTTGAGCAAAAAAACTGCAAAAGAAGACTGTCCTGGAATTCATATGAACACTTGACAGTTTCAGACTGCATCTAAATAGAGACTGGGAATGGCTAGCTTACTATGAAAAGTAATTTTCTACTCTTTTGATATTCTCACCTTAATATTAACTGTTGGGAGTGAGCAGCATCCATCCTGACTGGCTTGTCTTCATTAACACTGGTCCTCTGCATAGTAATGTAGCACTCCCATCTTTGTCTATATCACTGCCAAACTGAAGTTTCTACTTCATGCATCTGATGAAGTGGGCTCCATCTGATGAAAGCTTATGTTCAAATAAATTTGTTAGTCTTTATGGTCCATGGGACTCCTCATTTTTGCTGAAACAGGCTAAGACAGTTACCTGTCTGAAACTTGCTACTATGCTGCTCTTAGGGTTGCCACTGTAAATAGCATGCATCCATCTGTGTAAAAATGGCATATCTGTAGTGCTGCACCAGAGGGACTGTTGGCTTCAGTTGTCTTATGGTTTGCTGCTGCAGTTCTTTGACTTTCATGTGGTGCCGCTCATATATGTCTACATTTGTATTATGGGCTCAGGACAGTACATGTATAGCCTCTTCTCCTCGCAGACCCAGAGCATCCACTGCCTCCTGCCTACTCCAGCTTGCAGTCAGCATGTTCAACTGGGCAAGCCGGTTCTCTCTGAAGAACAAACAGGAAATGGAAATTCAGAAGTTCCTGGTTGGCACCAGTTGAGAACAGTGATTAAAGCAATCACAGTGTAGCATTGTGGGACACCTGCTGGAGGCCAGTTGAGTCAATGTAAACAATACCATGCCTCCTCTGTCACTACATTGCCTCTTTCGGACATGGAATAATTAAGTTGAGATATCAAGCGAAAAAGACCTGGCAGTGCAGACGAAGACATGTTGAGGTTGACATAAGGAAAGCTTACATTGAGCTAGCTGTGTAGTATAGACCAGGCATATGCTTATTTTTTTGAATGTTGCAAAAGCAAATTGTTTTGTTTAGTTAAAGTACTTGCAAATATGTCAGTATTTAATGTAGTTTCTTAATATCATTGCTATAAATGGTAAAATACTTTGTATAGCAACATATAATCTAATGATTTTACTAAACTAATTACTAATTTAAGAAATATTTAGGAATAGAATGTTTATATTAATAGGGAATGAATTAATGCTCAAGTAATTCCTAGTAGGGATGCTAAATTGCATTTACTCAATCGAGTAGTTGATGGAATTTCTATAGACTACTTGATTAGTTGATAAGGGGGGAAACTGCAGAGCCTCAGTGGGGTTAGCTCTAGGCCCCAGGAGTTAACCTCGCTGCCACTCTGCCTTTTAAATGTAGTAAGAGCCAAACTCTTAATACATTTTAAAGGCAGAGGTATAGCCAAGGGGACAGGCGCAAGCCAGGAATCAGCTGACTCCCAGCTTTTGCCCAGTCCCCACACTAGCCTCTGCCTCCTCTGCCCCCCTGCAGAGACAGTGCTGGGGTTTCAGGTTTTTAAGCTCTCTCCCCCCAGCACCGGCTCTTGCTCCATCCCCCCTTGCTGCCTCTCTCTGATAGAGGTATATGCTTCTCGGGTAGCCAATTATTTGTTTACATCCCTAATTCCTACAAGAACAACTATTTTTCCAAAAATTGTAATGAAGAATCAACAACTTGTTTAAATAACTCTTAGAAAGACTTTATGTAAATAATGATTAATTTTAAAAGATTACAGGCGACCCCCCCCCCACACTTACAACCTAACTGGTTCCTGGAGAACCATCGTAAGTTGGGCCATTGTAACATGAACCCTTATTGCCCATAGGGGCAATTTTAAGAACTGGGGTTCCGTTCCTGGCCCGCTTTGTCTCCTGGGGCCAGGAGGCTGTGCTGGGCGGTAAGCAGCGCTGGGGGCTGCACTGGGCGGTAGGCATCGCCGCGATTCAGCAAATGGTGTTGTGAGCCAGCCGGCCGGAGGCTGCGCCAGGTGGTAGGCAGACCCACGGCATGAACAGCACCCTGAGCCAGCTGGCGGGGGGCTGCGCCAGGTGGTAGGCAGACCCACGGCATGAACAGCACCCTGAGCCAGCTGGCGGGGGGCTGCGCCAGGTGGTAGGCAGACCCACGGCATGAACAGCACCCTGAGCCAGCTGGCGGGGGGCTGCGCCAGGTGGTAGGCAGACCCACGGCATGAACAGCACCCTGAGCCAGCTGGCGGGGGGCTGCGCCAGGTGGTAGGCAGACCCACGGCATGAACAGCACCCTGAGCCAGCTGGCGGGGGGCTGCGCCAGGTGGTAGGCAGACCCACGGCATGAACAGCACCCTGAGCCAGCTGGCGGGGGGCTGCGCCAGGTGGTAGGCAGACCCACGGCATGAACAGCACCCTGAGCCAGCTGGCGGGGGGCTGCGCCAGGTGGTAGGCAGACCCACGGCATGAACAGCACCCTGAGCCAGCTGGCGGGGGGCTGCGCCAGGTGGTAGGCAGACCCACGGCATGAACAGCACCCTGAGCCAGCTGGCGGGGGGCTGCGCCAGGTGGTAGGCAGACCCACGGCATGAACAGCACCCTGAGCCAGCTGGCGGGGGGCTGCGCCAGGTGGTAGGCAGACCCACGGCATGAACAGCACCCTGAGCCAGCTGGCGGGGGGCTGCGCCAGGTGGTAGGCAGACCCACGGCATGAACAGCACCCTGAGCCAGCTGGCGGGGGGCTGCGCCAGGTGGTAGGCAGACCCACGGCATGAACAGCACCCTGAGCCAGCTGGCGGGGGGCTGCGCCAGGTGGTAGGCAGACCCACGGCATGAACAGCACCCTGAGCCAGCTGGCGGGGGGCTGCGCCAGGTGGTAGGCAGACCCACGGCATGAACAGCACCCTGAGCCAGCTGGCGGGGGGCTGCGCCAGGTGGTAGGCAGACCCACGGCATGAACAGCACCCTGAGCCAGCTGGCGGGGGGCTGCGCCAGGTGGTAGGCAGCCCTGCAGTGCAAATGGTGCCATGAGCTGGCTGGGGGCAGTAGGTGGCCCCGCGGCACAAACGGCACCCTGAGCCGGCCAGCTGGGGGCTGCTCTGGGCGGTAGGCAGCTCCCAGAGCAGGGTGACCGTAAATGCGGGAGGTCGAGGGTCACCTGTATTTTGAAACAATAGCTTTTATATAAATAACAGAAATGTTTGGACTCTTTGAAAGCATTTTATTTTCTGTTGAACTCAAATTTGAAGGGATAGCACCAGAGAATAGATTGAAAAGGATGATTTAAAACTCCAAAATCTAAGATGTTGAGATCCTCCTGCCCCTAAAACAAAAGAGATAGTGTCAAGAAAGAATTGCATTTATTAACAAACTACATCGTAAATTGAAGATGCTCCTAAGGACAAATCAGGAAAGTACCGAGCCAGTGAAAGAATGACAGCAACCAACTCTGGATCGAAACACACGGGAAAGATGTCTTCCCATAATTTCATTAAAATAAGAAGGAAAGGATATAAAACCATGATGTGAGCAGCCCACCCCCCAATCTTTCACATACTGTTATCCTGTTTAAAAAGCAAATATTCCACAAGTCATCCTGTCCATATTTACAGGCAAGTTACTAAAGAAAGCTAAGAACAGAAAAGACTTAAGAAGAAACCATACCTAAGGAAAATCTATACAAGACTTTAACATGGATTGGTGAGAAGAAGTTAACAAAGATGCTGTGAAGAGATTAGATTTCAAACTCTTGCATTTATTTTATTAGGATATGGAAATGATGTTGTGATGTAAGATACTAACATTTTCACCTGTTAATCACGTAATGCTTAGATCATGTAGCCTAGAGAAGAGGATTGGCCTAACATTAGTAAACAGAGAAATAGTAGAATTTAGTTGGATTTGAGATTCTTAATATTTGAAATTAGCCTGTCTCAAGATAGGTGCTTAAAGTAACTGAGTAACAAATTTCAATATTTCTTTTGGTTTCATAGGATTTAATTAGGATTGGCTCTTAATCAAAACTACACAAAATTCACCTCTTTAAACATATTATGTCCATATGTAAATAGCTTTAAGTATCTATGATACTAAGACTGGATTCAGAATAATTTTGAGAAACAATATACATAGATCTTAATTTACTAAATGAAGAATATCCCACACGTGGCCATTAAGTGCTAAAACAGAGAGGCATAGTGAAAGGTGGTTATTTCAGTTATAATCTCTGATTATATAGGTTGTTTTGTTTTTAATATTTTTCTGTTCCTTCCTTTCTTTAATAATAACATAGCTGAGGTTGTTAATTCAGATTATTTTGCTTGGTTTTTAATTATGGTGTCCCCTAAGGATTTTATAAATTGTATATCTTAAATATTAGGAGTCAAATCCCCCAAGAGAGGCTCATGAATAGCGTGTCAGTAATTCCATGTTTTGATTATCATTTGGCAGTGAAAGAGACAAGTAATGATTGCTTGCTTATAATTTGTTCCTTTGGTCTAAGTATTTTTATATGTAGTGTTGTAAATGTGTCAGTCTCAGGAATACTAGAGACTCAAATTGAGGTGAGCTAATATCTTTTATTGGATCAGCCTCTGTTGTTTCCCTTCTAAACAGAAGTTTGTCCAATAAAAGATGAAAAAAATACTTTTAATAATTTTTAAAAGAAAATTTGGCATCCAATTTAAAATTACCTCATTCTACCCTACACATGCATATTATAAGACATAGAATTAAACATGTTTTTGTTTATTTTTACAGTCTGCATTTTTCCAACAACATGGATGCATAACAAATGACACCAATGCCAAGTATAATAGTCGTGGTGCACAACTTTACAGGGAAAAGATTAAATATCTTGCAACACAAGCAACAAGAAAACATGGTACTGATGTAAGTAATATATTGGATAATTTGCTTTAATATAAAATGATTGCTTTCCTGGCTCCAAAGTAATTTTAGATCTCTAAGCAGTGGACAAAATGTAATGTAAAGAGTGGTATTTGTCTGCTTTTGTAGCTAAGTAAATACAGATTACAGTGAAACTGCGAGGCAAGGAAATGTACTGAAACTAATTCTGTTTCTTGTGGGGGTGAATGCTAAGAATGTCAAGTTTGAGCTAATATTGTCACTCAGTTTTGGGTTAATCAGATAAGTACTACTGTGATGATTATGAATGCTAGAAAAAACTTTACATCCAAAAGAGGTAATTTTTATTATTTAATTATAATCATTATTGTTATGGAGTAGCTCATTTATTAATTTATATAACTTTAATGGAAAAAGTCTCTCTTTTTTTGTAAACAGTAAAATGTGTGTATTTTGCTTCTGAAGTTGAACCTCTCTGTTAATAGAGCAGGTGAAAATAGTACAGAAAGGGATGGTCATCAAGGATTATGAAATGTCTACTTTAAAATACTTCTGGGTTTTGCAATGACATGGGGACTTACTTTTTCAGCATCACTGGGTCAAATCCTACTCAAGCTATGGTAGAAGTACATTTATTACCAGCTTATTATTCTGTGATATTTATGGAATAGACTGCTAGTTTTAGTTTTTTAGTCCACATAATTGAGAGTGCCATGACAAATGACTTATTTATCAATTGTCTTAGAGTGCAGGCAAAGAATTAAAGTCCTGACTTGCAAAGTCCTGCAATATGCTGAAAGCCTTCTGCCTCCTTTTGCAGTCATTGGGAAGTTAAATATTAGTACTTGCATAAGCAGGCCCTAAATATGATCGAAATTTTGACACCCTTTTATTCTTGGGTTAGTGGGAGGGTTCTTTCAAAGTAGGGTTAAGTCATGTTGAGAAAGTTGTATTGTTTTGGTTCAAAGTATAGTTAGATAATCTCAATCATATGCTATGTTTTCATTAAGTTATAGTTAGCACTTTAGGGCTATGTCTAAATTGCAGTGCTATTTCGGAATACTAGAGGTATCCCGAAATAGCTATTCTGCGTCTTTTGAACACACCCATTATTTTGAAATATAACAGGCTCGCTTTTCCGACATCCCTGTAATCCTCATTCCACAAGGAGTAGGGGACGTTTCAGTAGAGTGACTTATTTCAAAGTAAGTGCTGTGTAGACCATGCCAAATTTCGAAATAAGCTATTTCCAAATAACATCGAAGTAAGATACACAATTTGCGTAGCTCAAATTGCATATCTTATTTCGACCTACAGTGCAATGTAGACACATCTGAGGTTTTGAAAGCACTACAACACTTAAAGAGCTATTTTTTTCAATTCTTGTTTCTGTTAAAGCAGTTCAGAACACTTCTGCTTCAAATAACATGGGTGGGGAAAGGGAACCAGTCTTGCACAGTTATTGGTGAGAGACAACAGACAATGTGAAATATTAAATTTGTGACCTTTAGGATAAAAGGCTATGTCATGATTCTGGTGTTGTCAGTATGTCTAAGATCAATTTAAGTCTCAATTAATAGTTTTTGTCCTATATTTGGAAGAAATGTTAAATATATTTGTGTAACATCCGGTGGAAGCTGGAGCTCTAATCATAAGATGTTTTATTTTAGTTGTGGCTAGATGGCTGTGGAATTCTGCCTGGATCACCCCAACACAAAGAGGAGGATTTTTTTGCATCCCATGCTTCTCTGAAGGTATAGAATATGCTGTACATATTTCTTACATTACTCTTTTCAAGTGCTTGTTGTCTCAGTGTTGTTAAATGTATGCTTTGTGATAGTTAGACATGAATCTCTGAAATAAAATTTATTTTACAGGAGGGATGCTAGTCTGACAACAGTTTGAGTTGAAGCTTATTTCCTATTTATTTTGTTCCTTAGATGCTGTTCTCTTAGTCGGTAAATATGTCAGATGAGATGAAAACATTATAATAGATTAAATTTATGGTAAATCAATAAGGGATTAGTAGCTCTTAGCAAATATTTAAGTTCACATTTTCCTGAAAAAACAGAATCTCAAATACTTATTTGATCTTTAGAAGACAAATTTGAAGAAAGTTCAGAGGAGATTAACAAGAATGATTAAAGATTTAGACAACATGACAAACGAGGAAAAATGGTAGGGGATTTTTTTTCTTGTCCAGAGAAGAGAAGACTGAATGGGGATGTGATAGTAGATTTCCAATACATAGAAGCTTGTTGTTAAGAGGAGGCTGATAAGTTCTCCTTATCCACCGAGGACAGGACAAGAAGCAATAGGCATAAACTTCAGCAAAGGAGATTTAGGTTAGACATTAGGAAATAATTCCTAACTATAAGGGTAGTTAAGCACTGGAAAAAATTACCTAGTGAGGTTGTGAAATTTCCATCATTGGAGATATTTATGAACTGATTAGTACAGGGGAATGAACTAAGTGACCCATAGAGGTGTATTCCAATCCTACATTTCTGTGGTTTTATATTGACAAACTGGCACTTGCTATGCAAAATGCTTATTCCTCATCAGTTTATTAATGTCATACTATAATTGCATGCACATTGCTTTATAGGCAAATAAAAAGTCTACCCTCAGGTGCTTATTATCTGAATAAACACGATGGAAATGACAAGTGGGTATAATTTTGGGGGGCGTTTAAGGAGAGGCAAATTTCAGCAGTAAGCAATAAGGCAGTACTGTTCTTGGAGCAGTTTCAATGGAAAACAATTCTTTGAATTAATACAGGAAGTCCCTGGGTTACGTACAAGATAGGGACTGTAGGTTTGTACTTCAGTTGAATTTGTATGTAAGTCGGAACTGGCGTCCAGATTCAGCCGCTGTTGAAACTGACCAGTGGCTGACTACAGGAAGCCCGAGGCAGAGCTGCTACAGGAAGACGCAGAGCAAAGCCGCGGAGGACGTGGGCAGCGGGACCGCGGCCCGTCTCAGTCCCGC